AGGTCACAAGGACCAGAAGATCAAAGAGGAAACAGAAAACAAGGAACAAAACACTCATCTAACAAAGACAAAAGCAGAAATCACCACCCAGACCTGTAATCATCCCCAAACTAGATACCTAAAGACTGTAAAAACACAATCAACAACAGCCAAGGTAATATGGCACCACCAGAGCCTGGCTATCCTCTGACAGCAAGACCTGAATATTCCAATGCAGCTGAAGCACAAGAAAATGACCTTAAAACCAACTTTATGGTGATAATAGAGGTCTTCAAAGGATATGAAAAAAAAATCCCTTAAAGAAATCAAGGATAAAACAAACAAAAATGGAGGAAATTAATAAACCCCTTAAAGAATGCCCAGAAAGCCAAGAAAAAACAAACAGGTGAAGGCCTGAAAATGGAAATAGAAGCAATAAAGAAAACACAAACTGAGGGAATTCTGGAAATATAATTTGAATATCAAATAGAAGCTATTTTATTTTCAGTAGAATTCACATCTACCAAATGCCTGCAAATACATCAGGCTTCTATATTAGTATTTCAACATAGTCATTTGCAAATATTTTGATGTGATAATGTTTTCAAAGATTGGAGTGCTAAGTGTAGGCAATATGCGATATCATGAAGTCATTGACTGAGATGCCTAGAATGAAGAAACAATTTATTCATTATTTATATAACTATATTTTTGTTTGTAATATAGATGGAAAAATAGAATGTGCAGGTGAATAATCCATCAAGAAAAGAACATACCAATTCTGTTTTTCTCGTATCACCGGCAGGACTGGAATTTAAATGGATCAAGGGATGCTGGGAGCTGATCTACTTTTGATATGGGAAACCTAAAATCATTTGTAGGCAACTTTCCCAATGTGGGGAAGTTCAATGAGTCTCTTGGTTCAGTCACAACTTATCTCAAAGTCAAACTTGAAAGAATTAATCTGATATAAATTCTTATTTCTTCTTTTCTATTAGAAGTCTCTATGTTTTATATTATTTAGTGAACAACTGTATGCAGTCCCTCACCACATCTTTAATAAATGTCTGTTTATACCATGTTTCCCCTTTTTTCAAATGTCATTGACTTTCAAACATTAGCTTTCACAAACTAATTTGCAAAAGTTGTTGTTGTAAAAACACATGCTAGACTTGGAATCGCTACAGATAACACTCTGTGCTCACACAGCTGTTTCATCAGCCTTACCTGGGATCATCTTCAACACTTCAGGGCAAGACAGGAGTCCCACAACCAAGAGCCTGGAACTCAGCCAGTCTCACAGCAGTGAGTCAATCTGACACCAACAGGGAGTCAAAGTTTCATTTGGTTCCTTAGACTTTAAGACACCAAACAACTAGAATTCAGTCTGTTCTGATCTGTTTGTGTTTATTTCCATGTTTCTGCCTCTTTCAATAGAATACGATTCTTATACAGACAGGGATTCGATTGGGAAGAATACAAGTATACCTAGAGTTCATGTGCTGGCTGTGTGGGTAAAAAAAGAAATGCATTGTACTGGGTGCATTTTAGCCATGGCTGTAGATGTGGAGAGCATACCCTGGCATTAGTGTCACCTTTGGTAACAATTTCAAAGCCATATTTTATGGTATAACTTATCATGACAAAGAATTCACTTTAAAGATATTAAAATACAACTCCTGTTTTTAACGTCAAAAACCAGGTCTTGTCTTCAAGATGTTTTGTTAATTCTCAAACAGTGGACTTGTATATGTTGACCCAAGGAGCAATTTTTTTAGGTTTAAATTATGATAATTTAAAATAAATGTTCTACAAAATGGAAACTATCCCCGTGAAATTGCAGAATTAAAATTTGAATTACTGCTCATTAAATGTATCCAGCTAGATATGAATGATACTAAAATTGCTAAGGAAATAATGGCTTTGTCCATATTAGGTATCCATTCATCTTTGTAATGCTGTGTACCTGGATGAGATTGTTTAGAAGATTCTAAAGGTATATGAAAGGCTTCAGAACAACAAAAGAGTGCACAATTTTTATTGGAAATGTCTATAAATTTTGAGCATCTCGGACTTAAGAGCATATAAAATGTGTCTATTTTGCTTGAATATAGAACAGAAAAGAAAGAACAAAAAAAAGTAAACACATACTACATCAAAATAAACAAAGACTTAGTGAAGCCTAGTGGTGCTGGGAACACAGAACAAATTATTACGATTTATTAGCATGAATATGTATGGTGTAAAAATTCATGCATGTTGACATCATTGATAGTATGCCTATAGTTGGGTTGTTACCTGATGTGGTAGTTTGAATAAGAATGCCCCCCCATAGGACCATATATTTGAATACTTAGTTATCTGTGACTGGAACTATTTGAAAAGGATTATAGATATGTCCCTGTTGAAGGAAGTCTGTCACTGGGTGTAGACTTTGAGGTTTCTAAAGGTCATGCAGGACCTGGAGTCTGCCTCTTCCTGCTTCCAGTGGATCCTAATGTAGAACTTTCAGCTAATTCTCCAACATCATGTCTGCCTGCATGCTGCCATGCTCCCCACCATGATCCATAGTGGACTAAAGAGATAATGGATTAAAACTCTGAAACCACAAGTGAGCCCCAAATAAAGGCTTTCTTTTACAAGAGTTGCCATGGTCATGATGTCTCTTCACAGCAACAGAACACTGACTGAAACACCTGCATAAGAGTTCTCCAGCTGGTTTCTTGGTTTCTTGTTGTTCTCACTCTATTTTCTCCTTTTTTGGTGTGTGCTATTTTTGTAGTAGAAACTGCACCAGGCTACACTTTTAACAGTGGCAGATCATAGGTGGCCTGTAGATTGGGGAATCCTGATAAGAATTAAATAACACTAAACTTCTACTGGAAGTCCATAATTTAATAATGACTTGTACATCCCCCCAAAGAAAACAAAAAACAAAGAATAACTTTTATTTCCTTACTAACTCTCCATAAGTGATTTTTTCCCCCTTCACCTACATGCTGAGAATTCTCCTATGCTGTGGTAGCATTTGGGGAGAAAAATGCTGAAGGGTGACTCTTGCAGCAAAATCATAGGAGTGTTCAGAAACTTAAAAGAGGAAAGTCTCTGTGCATGGGCATTTTCTGTGGCAGGAGGTGGAGTGGGCAGGTGTATTCAACACCTTCTTGAGCTTCATGAGCCAGCGGAATGAGTTTTTCATTTAGCCTCCAAATAAGAAAGCAGGTTTGAAGGCCCATTGTTGGATTTTGAGACTAAAGTGAGGTGTCTAATAAAAGTTGAATTATTGCTAAGCAATAAGCACACAGACAGACATTTTTTTTCCCTCAAACACAACACATGCTGTGATATCACTGATAAAGTTTAGGGCCCATAAGAGCAAATGCTCAGAAAAAAAAAATGCTTACGTATTCTAACAAGACCAAGGTAATAAAGCCAAAATTTACAGACAGGGGTGGACTGTAGGCGACAGCCATGCCGCTGTTCCACCACTCACACCAGTGGCTGTGTCACCAGAATGTCACAGTTTAATGTGGCTTATCTCAACTTAGCCATTTAGCCATTCAGGACTCAGGAGTACTGTGCTCATATCCACTGCTTTTCTTAGAATTAATGGTGCATGGCAGTTAAGTCTGATATTGGGGAGCATCAAGTGGAACTAGTTTTAAAATTTTTTGAGCAAATGTACAGATGTAAAAAGTAGCTTTGGAAATTTCATGGGCTAAACCACAAAGGGCAACAAGACATTAACTGCTTTTTCATCTGCTAGAAGATGATTTGGTAGCTCTTAAAAGTAGAGAGACGGTTCAGTAGATGGAGGCAAGTACTGCAGATGCTGATGACCTAATTTCAATCCTCAGGACCTATGTTGGGAGAGGAGATTGACCATCAATTGCCCCCCCATACACACACATGCATGCATAGACATTCACACACATGCACATATCACAGATTAAAATATATTTAAAACACCAGTCTGGCTAAATGGAGTGAGAATTTTGCAAAATTCTATGCTTATCATTGGAGAAGTAGGGCACAAGAAATATTGCAAGATGTTGAAGGGCCTGAGAGAAACAGCAACTTTTTGTTGTTGTTGTTTGTTTGTTTGTTTTTGTTTTTCTAAGAATTGTCAGACATGTTTGCAGCTAAAGCTCGTGTCTCATCTGCAGTTCACACTATTAAGGTTCTGATAGTGAGCAGCCCTGAGATCTCTGCTTGTTTCTTAATTATTTTCTCTGACTCAGAGGCTAGGATGCTTTTACCTTGGTGACAAGGGGCACCAACTGCCCCTAAAATGAAACCATGCCATGAGCCTGGGAAGCAGCTCTACTCTGCACTCCACAATTAAAGCCCATGCCTACTTCTAGGTTCCAGTTGGTCCTGTGATTACCCAGGAACTCTACCTCTCCTCACCCTCTACCCTGTGTATTTCAAGTCCCAAGATGAGACATCAAAGAAATAGTCTTTCAGATTCTATTGACCAACTTTGGCCATGGCCTTAAAGCAAACTTTTGTAATTATCCACGCATCTCTGAACCTAAGTGATAATGCAAATACAGAAATCTCAATGCCTTCCCTTCTGATGTCTAGATCACACAGCCCTTTTGTTACCTCATGACTTTGTTTGTCAAGTATTTCAGTGCCCCAGAGATGGTGTGAGTCTTTCCTTTTAGAATCTCTTCAGATTGAGCAATCTATTCTGCATGTTGTAACTACCCATTGAAACCATCAGAAGGTAAACCCCATCCTTTTAATATCAGTCAACTGAATTTCATGTAAAGCTTGAATACTGTGTACCCAGCTATATGCAGTAAATACAACTGATATTTATTTATTTTTTAAGTATTTTGTTGTTTGAGAGCTTTTTATAAATTTGTGTATGTATGTAATGAATTGAGTCCTTTTCACACTTATTCCCCTTGCTCATCCCGTTCTGTCATTCTGATATCATGAGACTAAAGTCCAACTTTCAAGCCTTTGTTGTGTGTTGGCCATTGAGTTTGTTACTTACTCAAGTATGGGTGAGATGTGACTCATTGGAGCAACTCATCTGTGGCTACACCTCTGAAGAAGATGTCATCAATCCTCCAAGGAGCAAGATGCCTTCTGGACATGTCATAGCTGTTACACATATGAAATTGCTGCAGTTGTGATTAGCTGAATAAGATCTACATAAGCTTAAACCTGTCAGACTGGTATTTAATTTGTTCAGAGCTAAACAGTATTGTCAAATCCACTTTCTTGAAAAAAAAAAAAAAGTCAATAGAACCAACAGGCAAGCAAATGATCCCCCCTACTCTCCCAGTGTTTTTCCTTCTCCTGTAGAGCTACTATCCCATGCTCAAGCAAGAATGCTGGTTTTCTTACGTACCTTCCCATTCTGTTGTTCTCCACACACAACACTCAGCTAAAAAAAAATTCTAAAATGTTATCAAGTACATTTATTTTCCTTCCTATCCACAACCATCGTACTAACCCAACTTTTGTCACTTATATCTTGCTTTTTGTAGGATTAATATTAATATATAATAATATTTGCATTTAAATTACTAAAGTCTACTATTTTCTTTTTATTTCTAAATTTCCTCTTAAGGCTTCAAACACAAAACAAAATTTGCTATGTGTACATTTGCTTGGGGCTCTCTTGTTTCTTTATTTATTGATATTTATTATACATGAATACAAAGCACTTTCATCATATCCATATCTCCTTTCCCTTCTCCAATGCCTCCCATATTCTCTCCCACATCCCCTCCTCACTGTTATGAAACATTGTACATTTAGAGAGGAGACTTTGGAATTTTTAAGACTGTGGGACTTTTAAAAGTTGGAATGATTTCTATGTTAGACTGACATCAATATGAGATACTTGGAATGAACAAGAGAAAAAAGGTTGTGGCTTAATAAGTGATATGTTTGTCAAACTGAAAATATATCAGTTGTACTGGTTAGATATTTGTCAATTAGACACAAGCTAGAGTTATCTGTGAAGAGAAATCTCAAATGAAGACATGCTTACAAAATCTGCTCATCATGCTCTTGATGATGGATTGACTTCTAGGGGCTCAGCCCACCGTGGATGGTGCCACTCTGAGTGGTATAAAAAAGCAGGCTGCGAAAACTATTAATCAAAACTTCTCTATGGCTTCTGCTTCAGTTTCTGCCTTGACTTCTTGCCCTGGCTTTCCTTAATAATAGAGGTGCAAGTTCCTTTTGGTCATAGTATTTTAATCACAACAATAGGAACTCTGAGAAAATGTCCCAGGCCTACCAGCCATTGCATCTCACTACTCATGGTAGGAATCACAAGAGACTTCATTCTTTACTATGGAAAGAATGATCCAACATGATGGATCTCTAAAGTATGTTACCATGTTGGGCTCACAGTGGCTCACAGAATCTATTTCCCATACTCCAGAATCTGTGTGGCTTTACATCATTTCAGCCACTCCTTCCTCATTTTAGTCTAATTAGAATAATGCCATTTGTATAATAGCGGTGCATATTGATGTTCTGCATGATGTCCAGATGGCCTGGATTTCTTCAAATCATGATATGAAAAAGGACAGAACACTATCATAGCCCATGAGTAAGACTATAAATACATTCTGTTGTCTGTTCCTTTTGTTCTAATAAAGATACCAAAGAAAACATCTACCAAATCAAATCAATGGCCACTTACTAAGCTCATGAGGTCAGCAAATACACCACATCCAGTTCTAAAGAAATAATGAGGACTACTCTTATCTTGAGTTTACAGTAATTCATATTATAGTCCACTTTTTGTCTATTCTGTTTGCTGTGTTATGCAGGGAAAAGTATTATTCATTTAGTGGAAACATAATTATAACTGCCACCACTGCATCTTTTAGGTAATTTCTGGTGAGACTAAATATACACTCCCATTCAATGATATATTTACTATATTTAAAAAGATATATGGAGATAGTTGCCAAGATTCCAGAGATTTGCAGTTGGTTTCTCTAGCTCTTATACCAAGAGCACAATGCTTGTGATGAGGCCAATTATAAGATATAAACATTACCTATTTGGGTACATTCTTTTATGGTTTCTGTTCTACTATCTCTTTTGATTACACATGATCATAATTTAGAGATTATTTTGACCTTTATTTTTAATTATGTGTATGTGTTGTGGGATATTTGATCATACTGTGAAGCCCTGAGACTATGTTAATAAAGCCAACCTTGGATCAGGGGGCAGAGCCAGTGACTAGTTGACAAGAATTAGCCATAGAAAGTATAGAGGACCCAGGAAGACAGAGAGATGCACATAAAGGAATCGAGAGTGACTTAGAGATTTGTAGTCTGGAGCAACAGAGCCAATGCTGGCAGGACCAGAAACCCTGAAAGACCATAAGATCTGAGCAGCTGAGCACTGAATGTGGGGGCCATCCACTGTAGTTAAAATATCAGTCGATTTGAGGATAGCTGCTAAGCCAATGGATAAACATTATGTCTGTATACATGAGTTCAAGTCCCTGCAGACACAAGAAGAGAGCATCAGATCCCAACAGTGAGAGTTAAGGTATTTGTGAGCTGCTTGCTGTGGATAGTGGCTACTGAAATTGTGTCCCCAGACTTTGGAAAACTACCAGACAAGCATGCTTTTTTAACCACTGAGACATCTCTTAAGCCCTTGGTTATATTTTTTACTTGGGTTCCTTAGCATAACTAAGACACTTCTTGGATAGACTAGAGGTTTTTCTATGGTTTGCCATTGTCTTATTGTTATGCCAGTCTATTCTACAACCTCCTGATTACTCAGTATTGTTTTTGTAGGTAAACATACTTTGGGTTATTCATTTACTATTTTCCCTGGGGCGGGGGGAATGTGTTCTGTTTGTCATCTCTGTAATTCAATTTATGGAACTTTTTGGCCCTAGACTTGATTCCTGTTTTAATTCACACTGTGGCAAATTGCAACTATGTTAATCATATTTTCTGAAGAAATTGCCAGTTACTATAATTACATGTGTATAATTACTTATATATAACGTTTTTGTGTTTAAATATATATTTCATCAAATTTATCATAGAATTCATTAATAAAATGACAAACATTAAAAATTCTCACCATAGGGTACCTATAAGTTTGAAAAACCATGAAGCCTGTAGAACAGAAAATTTTTTGTGTAGAATAACTCGGTTCAAGAATCAGGAAGGCCAACAACGAAATCTTCATTCCAAGCCCTGTTGTTAGAGAGCCTCTATCTACCTATAGTGTATACCTTACCAAAACTGAAGAACTTAAGAGTTATATATCTAAGCATGAAAAGTACACCTTGCTCTGGAATAAAGAACCAACTAGCTACTTTCCACTTTTGTTTGCCTTTTATTTACAACCAGACCCAGCATCAGTTGGCTAGTCACTCACACTCCTGACATGTCTGAAACACTCAGTCCACTGAACAACCTTCTTTGGATATGTCCTTCACAAGCACACTTAGAAATACACTTTACCAGACCTGGAATTACAGACCATTGGAAGCTGCCAGGTGGGTGCTAGAAGTTGAACCCAATCCTTTGGAAAAGCAGCCAATGCCCTTCATCACTGACCCATCTCTTCAGCCCCTCTATAACTTTTTATATACAAATAGTATAATTTTTAATATACAAATAGACATGAACTCAGCACAACTATGTACATTAATATGCTTTCTCTCCAGTATGAATATTCTGAAATTAAACAAGTTTGGATTGGATTAACAACTTCAAGGCTTAGTCACATTCTTCAGTTTTCTCCCTTTTTGTCTTCATAAGTTTTATTTATTTTTGCCTTTTTTCTTTTTACTTTTATTGATTCTTTGTGGATTTCACATCATGTATCCTGATCTCACTTATGGTCCCATTCCCTCACGTGCCCCCTCTGCCCTTGCAACCTCCCTCCAAAACAAATGAAACTTAAAAGAAAAAAACAAAAGCCATACAAAGCAACACAATCCACTACCTTCTTCTGGCCACCAAGTGTAGATACTGCATGTATGTGTTGCAAAGACATACATGTAGAAAAAACATCCATAAAAATAATACATTTAATAAAAACTTTAAAAATGAAAAATAAAAAGTAATTTCCACTCTATAGAAAAAGAGAAATATACTTTACTAATTTTCTAGGCATTCATCAGTCCAGTCAATCAGGAACCATGAACTGGTCATTGCAATAGTCATCTGCCCTGTGATATTTGAATGCTATAATATAGCCTCTATTTGGGGAGGGGTCCCAAATACTTATAATTTTATTATTAATCTCAGTTTAATATTAATTTTTCTCACTCATTTGTCTTTGAGAGAGTTCAATAAGATATCTTCTTTTTGATGTGGGACCAGTATTAGCACCATATTCATTACACTTTTGGCAATCATGCATCCTCTTACCCTCACCCCACAAACCAGAAAAGCATAATTAATGGCTTTGTGACCATCTATAGTATATACCATATGACAGTCTTATTGGTGACATCCATATTCTTATGGTACCTTTAATGTTTATCTGTATCTTTAATGTATACCATGCCGATTTCTACACTGACATTCACTTAAATTTGGCATCTAAGCAAGCAATGTGCCATTAAAGGCCATCCTAACTCTGCACCCAGGTCATTTCCCAGAGTTTTTAGCAGAATGATCAATCATATTCTGGAAAACAAAATACATTTACTACCCTCTCCCTTAGAGTATGCATTCAGAATCCATACTAGGAATACACTGTCTCTTCTGGCTCATGCATGTCATAATGGTACTCATGTTTATAAAAGGGAGTTGATAAATCTTAAACAAATTAGGCAACTCCTGTAAGCTGACAGAGTTTGGGGGCATTTAGAGATTCAAGATTTTTAGATGTGTTAGTCACCCATTCTTTAGAAAGATTTATTTATTTATTTGTGCACAATGCATGCTTTTGCTAGGATTTTAAGCTTGCCTGAAGTTTAGCTCTCCTTGTGGTTCAGCTCTAGGCCTTCAGCTTTTTCTGTGCTCTTTCTGAACAAGGTGAGAGCCTCTAATGTATTACCAAGGATGGTCTCTGCCCTTCATACTTAGCTTTTATGACTGATGTGTAACTCTCAGCTTGCTACCTTTATTCACAATGATTGATCAAAT